AAGCCAAGAAGTCAGCATTACCTGGCCTGAGACAGTTCAAGATGGTGGGTGAGTTCAGCTCCAGATTCAGACACCTCAGTGAAGGTGTCTCCAATGGAGTTGTCACCATGTGACGTGGGTGTCCAAGCTCTCGTTGCGATCAATGGAGAGGCAGTATAACCAGGAGAACCTAGAGAGTGACTCAGTTCACCCTGAAGTAGACACCTATCTGTGTACAGCTCTGGCTCAACTGGCTGTAATGACTAAGGAAATAATTTGGTTGACTTTTGTCTAGTGCTGTTTGAGACACCCTGGGTACCTTGCCTCACCCCAGCTCCTAGCTCAGAAATGTGTCCATCTCCCATATGCAGGTTTGTCACATCTGCCAGCCCCACTCAGAGGTCTTGAACATGCTAGAGCATCTCATATGGTACTAGATTCCTATCTGTGGTGATTGCATTAAGAACACAGAATAAGAAACATCGCTCACCCATAGATACTAGAACATCCATAGATACCCACGTCTGGGCATGTCAAGGTGGATCTCTACATTAGGACTGAACCCTGCTTGAAATGTCTTAGCTAGGTGCACTCTGATGTGAAGGAGGGCTATTCCCTGCTTCAGCATCGATTTCATATGAGACCTTGGTTAAATCCTTCTTATCTTAGTGCCTCATCTGTCAAATGGGGGTAATGTCCAGCTCTGCCTCACCGTGCTGAATATAGGTTATGAGATGTCCCACCAGGGCAGGTTCCTAAAGGGACCTGGGGGACTCATTCAAGACACATGGACTTTACTCCTCAATGGTGCTGGCTTCCACCTGTGAGATGCCAGTCCCCACGGCAGCAGATATCCTGCTAGCTTGTGAGTGCCTGCATAGGCACAGCAGTTCATGGCAGTTATTTTCTACTCGCAAGACTAAGCACAGAGAGGGAGGAGAGGGAGTGGGTTTTTTGAAGTGACTTCATTTTTAGACCAACCCCAACTCATATTTGATAAAATAAACATTGGAAGAGAGTTAAAACCCACTCACGCTAGATGAAGCTGCATCAGTCACCACGTGCAAAAATAAAAATAAAGAAATACTTCCCATGTGATCTAACTTACCAGGACTTTTTGTTCTAGTTCTAACTAGGAGAAATCTCTATAGCCGTTTACAAATAAGGCCTGAGAGGAAGTGGAAAAGAAAGGAACAATTTATCACATAGTCTGTGAGAATTATGCATTATATGAAGAACACACAGGCTGAAAGAAACAGGGCAAGATGGGAGTAGAGAAACTAATGGCCATGATGACAAAGGCCAAGGTATGTATGTAATTTAGATCTGAAGGAAATAGCCAAGGAATCATTTCTGTGACAGCACAGTAAAGCAGTACTAGAGAAATCTACATATTGCTCCGTGGTAGCTGTTGATATGCACCTACTGGTTGCATCCCCCTTGACAGCAAGGTCCAGATCCTGCCTGTCACAAGGATGCCAAGAGTCACGTTGGGCCCAGGCTCATGAGTTGTTAAACAATGGCAGGAATATGTCAAAGTGTCTAGAAATATTTCATTTTCCCCCTCAGATCTTAATGCAAATGAGGAGGCAAAGAACTGTTTTGTAAGGTAGGACTCATCTCGCCTGACTGCTGGTGTTGACAAGTCCACGCGCTCCCCTGTCAAAGGATAGCGACCATCATTTCGAAAGCGTGAGTCACCGCCCTGTCCCACACACGGATCTTAGGACAGGATGAATCACTTTCTGGAGGTGTCTGCCTCTGTCAACTCGAGGAGACGTTCAGATGACTAGCAGCAGGCATGGTACCATGCAATGTGAGTGACTCAACATATGTACTGTCAGCCAGCTTATGCAATTTTCAGCAGAGACTGTGATTAGTGTAGGTTTCTTCATTGAAAAAGTTACAGTGGGAAAAGCCTTTATGTGCATACTGGGTTTTTGATTCTGATATATTTTATTCCTCTTTCTGTACTGCAATAAATGAACCCAACAGAAACATTTTTAAGCCAGTGTGACACATCTGTCTCTTGTGGGTTGGTGCAGCTTGAATTTCAGTATACAGGTACATCTAAGGCCATACAAATTTCTAGTATAACAACACTAAAATTAGTCAGTGCATGACATTTTTTCTGTTAAGCATGGAAAGTTTTTAAACTATATAGCTAGAAGCTATTGCAGCAAGCAGGATACTTAGGCACATAGCAGCACTTATTATGTGGCATTGCTCCATCTTCAAAACTGCTAATTATGGCTGCCAAAAATATAATACATCTTGGAAAAATCAAATGGGTTAAAAACAAATCTAATTTACATCTATCTGAAGTGCCATTAGTGTGCACTTTCAGAAGTCTGAATCCTTTACAGAGTCCCCAAGTCCTTTATACAAATCTCTATCAACATCTGAGGACTCAGCTTCGGAGAAGTTGTGGTTTTCTTAAAGCCAGTGACCTAAAGCTTTGATAAGGCTGCTGATCTTACTGGTTTGCTTTTTAAATTCAGTCTGAAATGCTCATGCACTCATGTGAGCCCAAGAGCCAAAGTATTCAGAAGAAGACTTGTGGGCAGGTAAATGCTGCAGAGATGCATAGTTTTGGTGGGCCTGATTTGGACTTGGACTGCAGGACAGACTAGGACTGCATGCCAGTGGGATGTCCCTATTGCCCATGGCCAATTTACCTTGTTAAGAGCATCTCTTTCTGGTCATCTCCCCCTGATTTTTGTGGAAATGACTGGGAAGATTTCAGCAGGGGGCAGAGATGGTTGTCTGCCACTGCCTTCCTGACCACCTTCGCCAGCACCTGTCCTCCAGACACAGCTAGGTGGGAAGAGGGGGGAATTTAACCCCAAGTGCTGCAGGGTAGGCTCTTCAAAGAGAAGAGGAGCAGTGTCTGAAAACCCAGTGGACCTCTCTCCTGTCCCCAAGGGAGCCAGGTCCTTGTGGAAGGAGGGTGGAAGCTGGCATGTCCCCCACCGAGACAAGATCGGAAAGAAAAGCAGGGAGAATCTGTCCCGCTTTCCAAATCCACTCTATGTTTTCCCCGGCCTAAAGTAAAGCCACCCCTAGCTATTGGCTTCATCCCAGTGAAAGAAGATACTATGCAGAAAGAGAGGAAGCGGCTGCCACCCTCCTGCAACATCACCTCTTCCTAGGGAGAAGTGCCAAGGGATGGGAGAGGACAAGATGACTCCGCTGCCACCCCAGGGAGGGAAACCTCAGAAGACATCAAGAAAAGAGGGAATTCAAACTTTTCAGACGTTAGTCTTTTAACCCTGACCAGCTGCAGCAAACTGTTGCTTGGTGTTTCTTAAAGCAGTAAAAACAAAATAGAGCTGGCCCAATTTTTCAGTCTGCTATACATCAGAGTATTGTTATTGTTTGTTTAGCTTGAAACCACTAGCATTTTTTTCTTTAGGTTTTATAGGTGATGCTCCCACAGAAATCCTTGCCAAAGCCCCAGTCAAACTATAGCTACCAAGTTTGTTAGCTTTCCAAACATATATTTTAGTCCATCATTTGTTCCCTCCCTTGCAAAGCAATAGGCAGTGGGTTCAAAGATATGAGGTGCCAACAGCCATTTTTTAAGGGGATCTGTTAATTGATTCTTATTAAAATGCTTTGGTCATTGGATTGTTCAATTCAGTCTTGGGATAATCAATGACACTTATTTCTAAAATTACACTCCCAGAATGTGACAGGGCACTACTTTATCCATTGAAGAGAATAAATAGGGCGAGTGTTGGTTGTAGTAGGGGGATAAGATCCGACCCCTTAGGAATACCGTGAGGGTGCCTTCTCCATGCCAGGGCACAGCGAGGACCAGCTGCTCCATGAGCAGAACGATCTAGGAGCCTCGAGTGACCCCAGCGCGGGCAGTGCCCTCACCAACAGGAGCAGTCCCATAGGATCTGAACACCAGAGGCAGAGCAGGGTACTGGTAACAGGGTCCATCAACAGCCCCAGACACAACCAGGGGAGGAGCCACATCCAGGATGCTTCCAGGAGGTCCAATATCAAGCAAAAGGAGATGGGGCTAGAGTAAAGGCTAAAACGGGGGTCCAAGGTCCATCCAGGAGACAGGGCTGGAGACACAGCTACAACATGGGTCCAAGTCCATTCAAGAGACCAGGCTGGCGGGCCGCGAACGTTTCCCTTAGCTGTGGCCGGAAAGGAGGGAGGCGCTGCAGTGCAATCACAGTTTAGCAGACAGCAGTGAGATGAGTTTGCAAGGACAGGATTTGCTCTATTTGAGAAGGGGTAAGCCAGAGAGCTTCCATGGGAGCAGGAAGGGGCACTGAGCCTGAGGGTTTGTGAAGGAGCAGTCATTGGAGGGATCAGGTTCTGTGTTTTGGAACAGTTTAAGGCTGCTGGTCAGTCTTACCATTCCCTGCGTTTATATATTCGTCTGCGTGTTACCACAGGGCGAAGATAGAACTGACTAACTGCATATTTTTCACAAGTGTGAACGCAAACAGGGATTCCTGTTCAATGACCAAAGCAGAATCAAGTAGAAGTCAATGTGACTGTAGCTTGCCTGAATGTACTTTAGAATAAAAAAGACCCATAAAGTTACAAGGCGTATACAGCTGTCCTGCTGTTGCAATGTTGCACTCTGAGATGAATCCCTTTCTACAGACAGTGACCTTCATCCTTGGGCTGCAACATTTAGATGGGATCTGGATTTCAAATTCTCAAATGTGGATGTAGTCAGGGTGAGGATAGAGGCTGTTTCTGCACTGGAGGAAGGGAAGGGTTGGATTGCGGTGACAGAGCCAAATCCTCATGAATATAAACATAATGTACCAAACGTAGGCTATGTCAGAGAACTCCTGAGTGCAGGATCATTTACAGTTCCCACACTGATATTTCTGTATTTTTCTCCTCTACGCTGTAAGGAGAACCTGATGTGAGTTGAACCTTTTGGCTACTGAGCCTGCCCCAGATGCAGTAATTTAGTGAGCAGATGATGTTTTCAACGAATCCTCCTTTCTAACTCGGTGGATCTGTGTGTCTTCCGGCAGGTGTGTCCTCTGTGGCCTCCCTGATGTCCCTGGCTTGGGTGCTAGCCTCCTATCACAAGCTTCTTCGGGACTCTAGGGACGACAAGAAGAGTATGAGCTACAGAGGGGCCCTCATCCATCTCTTCTGGCGCCTCTTCACCATCTCATCCCGAGTTATTTCTTTTGCTCTCTTTGCTTCCATCTTCCAGCTCTACTTTGGGATCTTTGTAGTGGTCCATTGGTGTGCCATGGCTTTCTGGATCATCCATGGTGGGACAGATTTCTGCATGTCTAAGTGGGAGGAGATCCTCTTCAACATGGTGGTAGGGATTGTGTACATTTTCTGCTGGTTTAATGTCAAGGAAGGGCGGACTCGATACAGAATGTTTGCATATTACACTGTAGTCCTGACAGAGAACGCTGCCTTGACGCTCCTTTGGTATTTTTACAGAGATCCTGACACTACTGACTCATATGCCGTGCCAGCACTGTGTTGTGTCTTTCTTAGCTTTGCTGCTGGGATAGCTTTGATGCTGTTATATTATGGTGTGCTGCATCCCATGGGGCCAAGAGCTAAGATCTTTGCCAGCTCCTGTTGCGCCGAGCTGCTCTGGGGCATTCCTTTGCCCCCCGATGTTGAGCCCATGGCACCCGAAACCCCTGGGTACCGGGGGGCCCAGGCTACGCCCACCAGAGCGGTCACGGAGCAACAGGAGGAACTCACAGCTGACACTTGCTTGCCAGTTTTCCAGGTGAGAGCAATGGTACCATCTACTCCATCTGGGCGACCCTACCCCCCAGAGGGGCCTCTCATTAAGATTGACATCCCGAGAAAAAGATACCCTGCATGGGATGCTCATTTTGTAGACAGGAGGTTAAGAAGAACTATCAACATCCTCCAGTATGTCACCCCCACAGCTGTAGGTATTAGGTATAGAGATGGACCTCTCTTATATGAGTTGCTACAATATGAATCTTCACTTTAAGCTCCTTAAAACAAAAGTAAAAGAGGGGACCTTATTTTTGTTTACGGTAAACACAGATCATGAAACAACCACAAAACTTCAGATAAGCTTTCTTTCTGGTTGCTGTATGTATAAAAAAAAAAGATATTCTCTATGTTTTGTAAGTAAAAACAAAAAGAAAAACTTTTCTTTTGTTTTTTACACACAAGAAACAGTATTTCAACTTCCACACCTAGGATTCACAAGTGGAGAAGGAGGCATCTCCACATCAGTTTTATACCGTACACCAAGTGTAGAATATTATTTATGGGATTGGTGCTGATTGAAAAATAAAAAAACAAACAAACAAACCTACAACTGCCTTATGCCCTTAGGTGCTGAGTTTCATTAAGTACTGTCACCTTTCTCATGCAAAACTCTTTGATGATTATATGCCAGGAAAAAAAAAATTAAAAAAGAAAAAACAACTGAAATGCGAAACTTAAAATCAAAAAAAACAGAAAAAAAATGAACAGCAACAACAAAAAGAGAGAAATGTTTGAAAAATTTCTCGTTCACCTTATTGGATTTAGTAGAAAAAAAGAAAATTGTCTAAAGAAAGCGAAGCCAAGACACCCCCAAAGGAGTTTGATTTTCAAACAGTTGAAAGACAAAATCAGGTCTGTAATCAATTTGGCAACATGTTTATAACACCATTTGGCCAAGCCTGCAAGCCTTGACCAAGTCATGTTATAGAAGTGATCCCGCTATAGAACCGTTTTCATCGTGCGAATGGGCCGTGCAGAATGGTCGATTTGCACCAGATTAACACAGTAATGAAGTATCTGATCTTGTTTCATACAATCGCACACGCTAAAGCACCACTGACTTCGGTGCAAAAAATACCAACAGTCTGAGTCCAGAATAAGGCCTGCCAAGTTGATTTCTGGAAAAAAAGAAATCTGCAAACATTAAAATTATATACCAAAAAATATTATTCTGAAGTAGATTTACATATATCTAATAAATATTTCAGTAATAATAAAACTCAGCATAGTAGCAAAAAGCGAGTCAATTTAAAGGCACAATACTTGATCAGTGACTGGCAAAATAATTTGACCTACTGTATCATCATTTTAAGGCTGTGAAAGGCATACATGTATTATTTGTAATCTCGTGTAAGACCTGTCATGTCTCATTCAGTGCGAGCCTTAAAGTGATTGTAAAGCATCCTTTGTTTCATTTTTGGGTTTTGGGTTTCGATTTTTTTTTTTTAAGGAAAACAAAATATGAAAACCGGGGTTAAAAAAAAAAAAAAAGAAAAAACTTCTTCAGACGGTAATAACCTGTAACTGACTCACATCTAGAGATGATCTGGTGCTTTGTATTTTTGTTGATGTTGTTGTTGTGATTTAGCTGAGAATTCTTCAACTCGGTACATTTGGGGAACTGCTGATAAAACTGTCTTGTGTCACCCTCTACTGTAAGTACATGGCAAGAAACAACACCACAGGAAATTCAAGAGCATAGCGAGAGCATCGTGGCTTAGCTTAGCGTTCTCACCGCAAGGAGATTCTGCCGCCACCGAAAATGGCAAAGCGTAGACAGTTACCTGCTAAGGGTTTCGTGGTTGTCTTGACATTTCCAAACAATCTGCTTGGTGTCTGAACATTCACATATCTTGAATTCTGTTTCTCTGTTGAAATCTCTGTTTCGAGTTAAATCACAGGTTGCATCTACCTAATCGCATTTTCCTTGTCGAGAGTATTGCTCCTTTAAAGGAATATTCCCGTTTCAGGGCATCTTTTCAATCCCACCATCCCTCTACCTGGGAGGGGGAAAACAACAACAAAAAAAGCTATTTTTAAGTGAATACTGTAGTATTTTCTGTATGTAATTGCAATTTTTTATTCCAGAAATACTGTAACTGTCTAGGGTGCAAAACTCCCATGTTGACCTGTTCTGAAGAGAAGATCAACATGGGGGATATATTTTTTAATTATGATTACGTTGTTTTTTTTTTTTTAATTTGAGGAATCTGTTGCTTTTTTTTAATTCTAATAGTATTTAAAGAAACTAGTACAAATTTTATATAACAGTTTAAAGAAGCTGAATGCTTTCTTCGCCTGAATATACCTGAAGAGAAACATTTTTTTTCCATCAGTGATCCTTTGCAGTGTTCTGAGAAAACATTGGGGTTTTTTTCAGTTGTTTTGTTTTATAAAGAAAACTTTTAGCTAGTATCTGCCCCTTTTAAGGAGGGCAGGACTCATTCACGCCAAACTATAGACACACGCAAAGTTTATAAAAAGCCAAATTGTCACTGGTACTGTAATTCCCAGTCAAACTCCATTTCAGGCAAATATTTCTGGGCTCTGATTACAACCAATATGATGGTCACATTTTCATGCACAGGGAGGCATTTTGTCTCATCATACCTGACCTAAATTCCCTATATGTTATTGTTTGTTGTGCACATATATTTATTTATTTATTTATTTATTTATTTATTTATTTATTTATTTATGTTGGTGAAGAGCTTTTATTTCCTTTCTCCATTAGCTGTGTCCCCTAACCAGTTACTTCTCAAGCGTCCTACGTTTCACCCTGTTTGCTAATCAGTATGCCATCTCCATAGAAAGAGTTAACTTGTGAAGTGAACTTGCCAGTAGCGGTTACTGAACAAGTTTGCACCACTGCCATGGCAAGACAGAGGTGCCCGTCGTCTGACATCATGCCTGCATTTCTCTTACCAGAACTTCACTCCTTACGACATTTTTTTCTTTTTCTGAACAGACTTACCTTTAATAGTAGTGCAGATTTATTCTGATCGGGTTCCCCGAGGCTCTTGCCCTTTGTAAAGACATTCTTTAGTCCTGCCATGAGCAGCTCTCACCCATACACCAACATTTTCATTGGCATAAGCATGACAAAGGGATGGACGGCAAGTAACCCACTGCTCCTTGGTAGCTTTTCCCCCACAAAATATCCCACTCATTTCCAAAAGCTTAAGGAGAGGGTGGCCCTCACCGATTCCACGAACTGTGAAGTCTGGGTTGGAAATGCGAGTCCTCTCCTTCACCCCACCAAAAGGCCGGACCCTGCCACTTCACATCTGGATGACCAAGTGGGCCAACAAGCTGAGGCAAGGCCATGGGGAAGACTGGAGGAGCCCATCAGCGCTGTTGAACCCTCTCCTGAGCCTCGGCAGCCCACCTTCCTGCAGGAATGGGACCCCCTGTGACACCGACCGCCGGCCTCCGGGTCCTGTTGTGGGAGCAGAGGGGCAAAACACACTAGAAGTGACCTTACCTTTCATCGCAGTGCTAATTTCTTGCAGTCAAACCAGCTTGACAAAGGGCTTAACACATCCCTGCTCTGACGTCCTCCTTCCTAGAGGCTCACGGTGTGGATAGGAACGACAGCAGACACCTCCTCTGAGCATTTTTCTTCCGGCGTATTAAGACTGTTTCATTATGCTTAGTTGCACAAGCTGTCTGCCTCCGGTGTTAGTCTTTGCTTTGTACGATACCCTCTTGCATCCTAATTCAGCAAAGATTTCCAGTGAGAGCCTGTCTTGACCCTGGAGAACTCTTGCACTTCGAAGGATTTCATTACAGCCTTAATGTAAAGCATGCGCTCTACAGCCACGCCAAATAAGTTCATAGCTTGGTGTGGCAACCGCTTCTCCTAGGGATTATCTGTGAATTTTTTTGCCAAACAGCGTCTTTTACCAAGCCAAAAGTATGGGAAGTAAAATTACCCCGAGCTCCTATTCATGGCAATCCCAGTGTTGAGGGTCAAGTCCTCACCTTCTTTTTGCCCAGGGTCCCTTTGCTTTTTGGTGTGTATTTTGGAAGGATGGTCGGTGAGTTGCTGTAGTTTGGCTTGGTTCTTAACTCCTTGGCTTCTTACCGCATGTCCCACCTTTTTGCCTGAAGATACTCTTTGAGGCTTTTTTTTTTAACTAAATCCATATTTATTCACATCACAAGCTCAGCGGGCAACTTCTCTAGCACGTTTGTGCGGCTGGATTTGCTCTGGAAACATCTAAAACAGCCAATGAAGCCATGCCAGGGCAAAGCCGGCATGCTAGGACTCCACCAGCCGTGCTGGTAAATTGTTCAAACACCCTCTGGCATGGTTTTGACCCACTCAGATGAGCACCGGGCTCAGGCCCAGCTTGTACAGGCATTAACACTGGCCAGAGACCATCCCCAATCAGCAGCTTGTACGCAGCCAGTCTGTACCGAGGACGAAAGCGTTTAATAGTATAGATGTGGCCAGCATTAGTCAGTTGGCTTCATGGCCAGAGAGATCCTGGCAGTCCTTAATTTACTAATAAAGATGTAGCACTCTGTCACAGACCAGAATTCAGGACTTGGTGGAATACAGCAGCTCCAACGTGGCGTATTTCTATATCCTGCACACCAACTGACAAAGTATCTTTGCTCTTTTGGCAGAGGTTATTAGTTTTACAAACAACGTCACTTATATAATGCCAATATTAACCCATCCGTCCATCCCTCCATCCATGTCAGAGGGCTGGCGTGCTAGTGTGTTAGCGTTATACATCTGCAGGCAGCTAATTTGGAGACATGAATTATTCAGACCCGACCAAAACAACAATGGAAATATAGAAATTACAAGGTCCCTGCCCATGCCCTTGTCATGCTTTGCCACCTACAGAAGGCATTATTCATCCAAAGCATAGCCAACCCGAAATGCAGAAGAGGAGCAAGCTGATGTTACATAATTGCCAGTGGAAATGAGCCACAGATTTCAAATGTAAATATATATTTTTCAGTGTTTTGGATTGGAGATAATTGTCTGCTTCAGCCTGTCTTTCTCTGCACCTGCCTAAAGTCAGCAGCATTTGTATGTGCTTTTATTTAAAGCTGACTAGATGAGAGAGGACAAAATTAATTTCAAGCTGTAGCCAGTGGTCTTTTAAAACCCAGCTGTCATGAGGGGAGTGCTGCTATTGACTTTCAGCGAGTAATCGTCCCTTGCTCTTCAGATTTATTTCTGCACACGCAAGATTCACTTC